TTTTTTTTTAATTTAAGAATTGATACTTCAACAACGATTTCTGCAATTTTTTTTTTTTTTTTTTTAGAATGTAGAAACTTTTCAGTCGCTATAGCAGTTAACACAAACACTTTTAATCTTCTAATTCTCCCGACAATTTTTTGAACAGAAACAACAGAATCGCTTGTTGAGTTGTCTTGGTTTAAATTTGAACTGATTAAAGTTTCTTGATCAACTGTAACGAAAGCTGCTTTTTGATCTTGTTGCTAAAGCATCTTTTCTGAGCAGTCAAGTAGATGCAAAAAAGTTGCGCAGTTTTGATGACACCTCCTTATAAGAACTTTTCGTTGTTTTAGTCGACTAGTATTGCCTCATTGTTGAAAATAAGCTTACTTAAAACCATAAAAGGTTTTTCTTCTTAAAGTTTAAAAAGAAGAAAATTTTTGGCTGCTAAAAAGACATTGTTTGTTAAGGTAGATTTTGCTGCTTTTCTTTTCTGATCTTTCTAAAAAATGACATTTGCAGCGACAGACGCTGGTGAGTATCTTGTGCCGGAAGATTCTTGGAAATCCCAGCCAACATGCCGTTTAGTTGTATCTAAATCATCATCTGGAAGGTTAGTTTCACTACAATAATTGTTTTTCTAGATTTAATAACTCGCCGATATTCTTGCTGAACATAGGTTTCTGAAAAAATTTAGACGGCATGTAATCAAATGAAATTCTAAAAAGAAAAACCTTCAGCTGTAATGAGAATGAGAGACTATAAGGTTGTCTAGAATTTGAAAATAATGAAAAACTTTTCTACTTATTGAAAGTTCGTTTCATTGATAAAGTCGGTGCTAATGACTGAAATTTTTCCAACAAATTTCTCAGAATATACGAAAAAAAATTTATTTATTTCTAAAAGCTTTAACTTATACATTGTGACATTTTCAACATTACATTCATGATGTGCTGGTGAAAATGAATTGACATTGCTGATGAATTGACATCGCGTTAATGATAACTGAGGTTGAAGCCAAGAATAAAATTTGGAAACCTATTTTTGATTTGTTTTAAGCTATAATATAATTTTATCACCCTTCAACCTCTGCTTTAACCCGCTTAAGCAGACATTTTGATAGCCGCAAACGCGACATCGCAATCTTGTTTTACGGAAATATTCCAAAATTTATGTTTTATCTTTGGCATTAATGATGCAACAAATTAATGACAGTTTAACTCTACTCTGCCTTTCTTGCATCTTTGTTAACCATAATAGATTGAACATTCTTCAGCTAGTAGTACTCAAAAATGAACAAAATTATCTAACAAATTTTATTATCATCTAGTACCAGCCGTTATTCAGAACCGTTCATAAAGTTTACTCTTACTTTCCAGCTTAAAGGGATCATCACTGCAGTCAAAAAAAAGCTCGACTTTTGTCGACGTCGGTATGCTATCGCTCAATAACGTCCACTTTAACGATCTGGCCAAAGAAGACAGCCAACTTTTTGACGACAACGTAACTTTAGATACAGCCCTTCCTGTGTTGTGCTGTACCGCTGTAAAAGAATTAAATAAACTTTGAATCATCAATAGATTTAGGTCCAAGGACTAGCATCAAAGCCTTGAAGATTTTATGCCGGCTTTGTAGCTCTGTTTTCAAAATAAGGAGGACTGCCAAACAAAAAAATAATTTTTTTTTTTTAGGAAATTGACGATCGTTCTTTACAGCACTATCAACTTGGCTACAACGAATCGTCATCCTGCAGTCGTGGGAAGTTGACTTTTGGACTTCGATATGATTTTATACACAGAGTGTTAATGCTTCACGTCATTTGTGCGAGACAGTTACCATCAGAGGTCGTCTGTTTGTAGCTTTTATAAATTGTGCTTTAATAGCTGAAAATTACCAAAAAAGTCAAACAGTCGTAAAACTTTTGAAGGATCAAAAAAAATTAGTTCAAGGAGTACACCGAATGTAAAGCGTGGATAGCAAATGAAGGAGAGAGAAGTAATTATGAGAAAGCATGTTTTTCATTACAAGACCACTGAGTCAGAATAATCCCTAATTTGTTGTTTAAAGCAATTCTGTTTTGTTTCTAAGAAGCAACTAAAGTTTGAAGTTTTGGATTTGGCAAATCGGTCGAAGCGGAGAGTTTGCCTAACATTACATAAATTGGCTAAATTTTGCTACTTACAATTTATAATTAAATACTATAAGGCAATGTTTGTCGCGATAAAAACCAATTTTCAAAATTAAACTGCAGCTTGTTTAGGGCTCACACGCGGTGGACCACCCTTATATTAAAATGTACTTGCTGCCAGAGAGACGAAATCACTGTAGGACAAAAATTTCAAAAAAGATCAAACTTGGACCAAATCCGGATTTTAACGAAATGTTTTCGTTTGATGTCAGTTTTGAGAACATTCCGCACCGGATGCTGCAGGTTCCTAAAATCTTTAATATATATTTGTGCAATACAGTGGTGAAACAATATCATTGTTGCTGGTGCTGCAATAATTTCTACTTTAAAGCTGCAGAAAAAATAACAAAAATGATTTCTTGATCATATATGAAGTACTAGAGCGATTTTTTTCAGTTTAGCATGTGATTTTTAAAATTTTCTCATTTACTGCCTGTCAGAATTTCTTCTAAATTATAAATGTAAAAAAACATTTAGAAGGATTTTAGTTTACCGTTTACAATTTCGATCGCTTTACTCGGCATGACCTTATTGGCAATGTTATTATGCGAGATTTGTTGGATAAGTCAAATTTAACTGACTGGACCGAATACACAATGCCTATTGTGGGCAGTCAGGTATAGTTTATGCGCTTAGAAAATAGGCTGACTTCTCTATGGTAAAACTTTAACTTGGAACAGTTTAGAATTTTTACAAAACAACAGTCATCGAGCGACCTGTACATCAGAAACTAGCTAAATGTTCATTTTTTTATTTAATCATTTAAGATGTTTAATAAATTAATTGATTTATTTATGTGTTAGCAGAAAAGCGGTAGGGTTGATTCCAGTTTTTTCAATAGCAACAGTTATGTTCAGAAGTGTTGTAACTTTATGTTTTTGTAAAACTTGTACGGCGGCTTGGTCGAAAAAGATGAAATTTATAGGAGAAGAACGATTACGGTGTTTTATTGCTGTATCTAAACTATTGTTTAAGCAAAGAAAAGTTGTCTGTCACTGTATCAAAAGCGTACAATTTGAGGCCGATGGATATTACTGGAGCATCCGGTGGGTTAGTTCGAAAATTTCAAACTGTGTGAAAATACTACAGCAATTTTTCTTCATCTGAAACGTTATCAAGTGACATTTGAAAATTTTGATGACGAACCACATTTGTTAATGCTGAAAATTTTTAAATTTTTTTGCAGACCCATATGTGAAAATTGAACAAGTTTATCAAAGAAAACGTGTAAAGTTAAAGAAAACTTCGATAAAACGGGCAAATCTTAACCCTGTGTATCATGAGTGCCTTGAATTTGATCTGCCTTCGAATGAAATTGATAAAACAACGTTGCTAGTGCAGGTCATGGACTGGGATAGGTAAATTGCTAGTAAATCTCATGTTTTATATAAACTAGTTGTGTGCTTTTTTCATTTTTTTCATACTTTTGCAAAGATTTTGCAATTTTCACAAACACCAACCACGTTAGTACTAAGCAGAAGATATCCAAACACAAATTTTTCTCTCTCAAGTAATGGAATGTGATGCAATTGGTTTTAAGAATTGGACACGACGATTTACTGGGATGCTGTATTATTGGCAAAGATAGTCCCACAGCGGAAGGGCAACGACAGTGGACCGACTGCTTCCAGTATCTGGAATCTAGCAGTACTGGAGAAGTAACTTCTTAGCATCATATTCAGTCTTCAAATTAAATGGAAAATCGTAAAAATAGAAGTTTTGCCTTTGAGAATTTTAGCAAATTTTTTTTTGACGAACTTTTAGCTTTTTGTCTTTTGGCTTGTGACCACGTCCACCCTTATTAGTCTCACCCTGGCAAGGTTTCTTCTTGCTTATTTATTTTTTTTTTCAGAAATCGCGTCCTGTCGGAACTTGGCATTACCTGTTGGGTGAAGTTCCTTTGGAATTTGTTAAATTGCCAAAGTCGAAAAAGTAGATGTATTTTATTGGTTGTATTTATAAGTTTAATTGTAACATTTATTGCAATAGTCAATTTTTACTGTTAAATAAAACTGTACAGTTAGAAGTTCTGAAACGTTTTTTATCGTTTATTTAGATGACGGAGAAGATTTTTGAATTGATAATTTTTCTGAGCCATGTAAAAGGCCGGGGGTACCGTAGGTATAGAAATGTTTCCGTTGCAAATACTTTGGCTTCTGACGTTTAATGGCCGAAAGCGACTGAAAGACAGTTTAAAACCCGGTTTCTTCAAGTCCAATAAAACTTAGTTGATTGTCTTCTTGTCTGTCCAGGTTAGACGCTTTATTTAAAGACATAAACTTCTGATCGTCAACAGTTGTTTGTACCTGAATTAAAATAGCTTTCAATTTGAGCGTTATTGTCATGGATGTTGGTTTTCTGTTTTCAACCAAATCTTTGTTTAATTTTAAGGTTTTCAAGCGATGTTGCCGTTATCACGTCCTGCTTTATTCTTCATGACAAAATAACAACTGCTTCTTGCCACTAGTCTGCACTATTGAATATTATTTTTAAGCATCTAACAGTAAGCAGTTGATAGACAAAAGGGTTGTTAGTTTTGATTTTAAAATCGTTTAAATGTGGAATAATTGTCAACGGCTAATGAGAGAAAAATTTAGAGCTGTTGGATATGGTCACTTGTCTGCGAGAAAAAAAATGCATTAGTGACGAGACGTTTCAAAAATCTTTTTTTTTTTTTTAGTGCTGCAATCTTTCTTCAGACTGGCGGCCGTATTACGCTAATTGGCTGTATCAGCCACAGCCGACCAGATAAATGCGGTTTTGGTACAGTATACAAATATTAATTACTGTATTTCTAAAAACCTGATAAGAGAGGTACCTTTCTAGTTTTCTTCTGGGTTGACATTCAAACTTGCCAGCAGTCTTTAAACAAAGATATGTAAGGATTAAAAAGTAGTAGAAAGTTATTTTTCTGAGATTAGGTCAAAAACAAGTGTAGGTTGGGTTGAGTTTCGAAGCTGTAGTGGTGATGGACAAAGGCTTGCTCTGCGTAGGTTAGGGGGTGACGGAGGCCTTTGTTTGAAAAGAGGCGGGAGGATAACAGGAATGATAAAAGTTCCTCGTAAATTTCTTTTTTGAATGTAGACTAAAAAGGGGTAAAGAAAAAAGGAAAATAGTGAAAGATGTTCACTGAGCTCGTTTTTCTCTCTCTTCTTTCTTAAATAAGTTTCATATAGAGCACGCTTTAGCAACATTCCTGGAATGCAAAGTTGAATGTAAATAACTTCTTGATCGTTTTTATTGTATCAGTTTTTATAAAATACGTAATTTTTTGCCTAAATTTTCTAATTTGGTGGCATTTGGTCATATCCGCAATTCAAATCTTGCTGTGATTAAGTTTCCAAAAACTTCTTCTGCAAGGCAGACATACACTTCAATCGTTATTCTATACTAATTGATTGGTTCATAATGGTGCACATTTCTTTAATTTCTAATGGATTGTTTCCTTAAAGGGCGTCTAAATTTTTGGAAAGCCCTTCACATAAACGGAAACATTGCCAGCCTTGAGCTGTTTCCTCGTTTAGTGGACAAATAAACCAAATTGGTTCATAAGCAAACTCTGCTCTCTCGCAGTTGTTGAACCTGTCTATATCGGCAACTAACTCATACATTTTACTCACTGCTGTAACTATATGCAGCTACTCTTATGCATTCACCTTATTATCATCACCTTCGCTATCCATCTGTAAAATGTGATCCTCGTCACTAAATCATTTCTTACTTGTCTTTGAACCTTGCTTACGGCCGCCTGTGTAGAAGATTTTACTTGTGTCGGTGTGTCTTTATTACGCTGCACAACGGTAAATGCGACGGAGGAATGCAATTTTGGTGCTGGGTTTGCAATTCTGACAGCTAGTGCAACTTTCTGCTTAGGTTACTGAGCCTTTCTTCAGCGTAGTGGGTGGGGCTTTTTTGTCAGATCTATAGTTTGGGAAGGAAAAGAATTAAATAGATAAATATAAATAGGTTCCATACTGCTTCACTAAACTAAACTTTAT